CCCTCAAACCTGAACCCCGCCCCGCCCCTGCATGTGACTGACATCTCCTCCACACAGCCCCACCTCCCCAGACTCTGCCCCCTGCCAGTAGGGGGTGGGGGAAAATCACTCATCTGTGGCTCCCTCCCGCCACACATGGGGTGGGGGGGGATGACATCACGTTACTCATATGCCCCCCCAGCTCCCCCTCCCCCCGATGGGGGGCAGCAGGGCAGTGCCAGGGTCTCTGCTGCCCCGGGGGCTGCGCCCGCTACCTGAGCTTCTTCAGCTGGCTCATGTCGGGGTTGATGTCAGCAAATTTCAGCGACAGCTTCCAGACGGTGACCACGAAGATCACGGCGTTGACCTGCCGGGGGCAGGGGAGAGGCGGGTTGGGAGGGGGGCAAGTGTCTCCTGGGGGTGGGGGCTATGGGATCTGCCAGCTGTGCAGCCCATGGGGCAGCCCCTTGCCTGGGCCGGGGGCGCCCCACTCCCCATAGTGACCCAGCTCGGCCCCTGGGGGCTGGGGGGGACAGGGGATGACAAGTGCGGGGCCCAGCTGCCCTGGCGCTGGGGCTGGGTGGCAGGGGAAAGAAGTGAGGACAGCTGCCAGCCAGGCCCTCAGGGGCCGGCCAGGGGGCCAGGCGCTGGCATGGGGCTGGGCTCGGGGAGGGGATTTACCGCGATGATGATGCAGACGGGCGCCAGGAAGCTCCAGATGAATTGCTTCTCCAGCGAGAGCCAGCAGCTGTGGGGGAGGGACAGACACGAGTCAGTCACTCACTCACCTGCCAGCAGGGGGCACTGCAGGGTGGGGTTTGCCCCCCCCACTGGCAGAGTGGGGGATGGAGACTAGACAGCCCCCCCCCCTCCCACCTTTGGTGCCCAGGAGCGTCCTTGTGTTGTTCAAGTGTCCCGGGTTGGGGCCCTGGCCCAAGCGGCAGGAGGGTGCCCCCCTCCCTCACACTGGCCTCACCCGCCCCATGGGGGCCCACCCCTCCCCTCCCCTGGTGGGCCCGGATGGCAGCGGCACACCCAGCTGAGCCGCTCCTGTCCCCGTGTGCTGCCTGGGCATGGTGCCATGTTCCCCTCGAGCCCCTGGCCGAGAGCACTGGGCCTGTCCCCCCCACAGGCTGGTGACTCACTGGCGCGCCGTGCCGTAGCCCTCGCTGTAGGTGGCGGCCGAGATGCCCACGATGAGGGCCGGCACGCCGTAGCCCAGCAGGAACATGTAGCGGCGCCTGAGGCCGTGGGGGGTGAAGACCTGAACCACCAGCAGGTAGAGCTCGGCGCCCTCCAGGCACATCCAGCAGAAGGCGGCCAAGAAGAAATAGTGCAGGAGCCCGGCCACCATGCCGCACACCACCTGCAGCCAACGGGACGTGGGACGTCAGGGCCGGGCTCCCGGCTCCTCCAGCCCCAGCCCCAGCCCCTGGCAGCAGGGGGCGCAGTGGGGAGCAGGGCAGGAGCACTGGCTGTGGGGGGAGCTCCCTCCTACTTCAGGCCCAGATACTGGGGGCACTGTGGGGAGCAAGGCAAGATTGCTGGCTGTGGGGTGACTCCTGGC